TAAAAGCTCCTGATTTATGCTCGTCTCAGCCCAAGCTACGGAACTGCTATTCCAGTTCAAAACCCATGTTAAAAAGTGAACTATTTCCTTTAAAGGTAGTGTGCCACCTTTGAAAGATTTCCCATTTTATTTTTCCTAGGATAAGAAGCTTCTGTTTTTACCTAATATCGCACAAAAAAATCAAAAATGGGCCTGGAATAGTGCCTTTTTCGCCTAAAAGTTTTTCGGTTTTTAGATATGTATAACAACTGTAGTGGGCTCACCTGCAAACAGGCGTCGGGCAACAATCGCGAATGCGGCGCACTTGTGACAGTAAGCAAAGGTCATTATAGTGTTACGACCATACGACGTACGGGAATGAGTTATCAGCTGTCTAATCGTAGACAACACAATGTCGAGCCTTAAACTGTAAGCCCGTATTGGTATTGTTTCTTTTATTTGGCTGTCGAACATTATTTATGGTTTGAAATATGATTTTATGTAAAATAATTGATATGAAAAAGCCGTCTTATAAGTTATGACCCCATTTCACCACACGCAAGTGGCAGAAATGACAATGATCAGCTGACGCATTTTTCTTGGCCGAAGTCAGAGCGCGCGGCCCGACGCACCACGCGTATTTGGAAATTCCGACCTCGACGAGCATCAGAAGCCACCTAACAGGCGTGTTCGAAACCGCAGGAGATGATGATGAACGGGTTTATCGAAACTTGATTGGATGAGCATATCGGTAATAGCGATTTCAATGTGTGCATTTATTGTTCATAGTGGTGTGAAATGTGGTTGGGGTACGACCGACAACCCGTCGGGGCGAATTTCGCACTGGGGTACTCAAAATTTGAAGAATTTAAGACGTTTCCATGAGTTTTGAAGGTATGGATAAGTTCTAAAAATCCGGTTCTCCTTATCTGGGCCATTAACTCCATACGGTCCAAGAAAGCTGGCACACTACCTTTAACAGCCATGTTGGGCAGCGACCCACTTCAAGTCACCGCCTCCAAGCTTTGGACGGAGCAGACCAGAAGCGACTTAATCGCTGGTATAATGCGTGGTGAACTTGACCCGCTAACAACATCACAGGAGACAGTGTTTGCTTTGATAGGAAATGTGCAAAAAAGCGGATCTAGTTAGAGGCTGTGCTGCACGTGACAGGAGCCGAATAACTGTCACAATTGACTCAGAAACAAGATGGTTGTTCTGCGTAACGCTTGAGGCAAGGTGTTAGCTACTATTTACGGAGCGAGCGAAGCGAGCGTAGTCTTTCCTTAGACCAGTATAACGCCTTTTGGGGCGAGTAACGGAGCGAGCGAGAGGGTGAGCCTTGCACGTGCGAAATTTCGAGGGGGTACCTCCAACTGACTTGTGCACGGCACCCTACTAACCGGTCTCTAGCGATGTGCCAAATTTGAGCACAATCGGCCGAGCCGTTCTCGAGATCTGGGAGCGGCATTCTGCACGTGCGCACGTGCAAACGGGGTCCAAAATGACTTGTGCACGGCACCCTACTAACTGGTCCCTAACCGTGTACCAAATTTGAGCGCCATCGGTCCAGCCGTTCTCGAGATCTGGAAACGACCCCTGCACGTGCGCACGTGCAGCAGCACCCCAACTCTGGCACATGGATATGAAGTGCCTAGTGGGTGCCTACCTACATGCCAACTTTCAGCGCAATCGGCCAAGTAGTTACCGAGATATTGCAACAATTACAAAACTGACACCTCTTCGTTTTGCACGTGGCACGTGCATAAGGGGTCACCCACATGCATCGGGAATAGTCCAATACTTGGTAGAAGGAATGAAGCTACCCTACAAAAATTACCGCGTGTAAATCGGTCAAGTGGTTGCTGAGATATAAGCCTCGCAAAAGCGTCCGCACGGCCGGCCGGCCGGCCGGCCGCTCATACTGAGAAATTTCCGTTAATCTAAGGAAAGACTCCGCTCGCTTCGCTCGCTCCGTAATAACGGAAATTTCTGAGTATGAGCGGCCGGCCGGCCGGCCGGCCGTGCGGACGCTTTTGCGAGGCTTATATCTCAGCAACCACTTGACCGATTTACACGGGGTAATTTTTGTAGGGTAGCTTCATTCCTTCTACCAAGTATTGGACTATTCCCGATGAATATGGGTGACCCCTTATGCACGTGCCACGCGCAAAACGAAGAGGTGTCAGTTTTGCAATTGTTGCAATATCTCGGTAACTACTTGGCCGATTGCGCTGAAAGTTGGCATGTAGGTAGGCACCCACTAGGCACTGCATATCCATGTGCCAGAGTTGGGGTGCTGCTGCACGTGCGCACGTGCAGGGGTCGTTTCCAGATCTCGAGAACGGCTGGACCGATGGCGCTCAAATTTGGTACACGGTTAGAGACCAGTTAGTAGGGTGCCGTGCACAAGTCAGTTGAGACCCATTCTGCACGTGCGCACGTGCAGGGTGCCGCTTCCAGATCTCGAGAACGGCTGGGCCGATTGTGCTCAAATTTGGCACACCGCTAGAGCCCCGTTAGTAGGGTGCCGTGCACAAGTCAGTTGGAGGTACCCCCTCGAAATTTCGCACGTGCAAGGCTCGCCCTCTCGCTCGCTCCGTTAGTCGCCGCAAAAGGCGCTATACTGGTACTATATCTACGAGGTGTATGCTACTATATCAACGTTAATCGTTTGTCACACATTTAAAGCCATATACAAATCTCACTTACACGGCTTACACCCATGCTATTTACTAATCTTATGTCGATAGGAGGGGCAATAATCACTTCATTGCCAGCATCAACATTCGTGCTGCGAGTTCACTTCAGATTCATAGGCTGCGGAACGGGGAGGGCACCGGGGCACCATGCCCCCCTTGATTTTTCCATTTTAACATTAGCCCTATGGGTGTTGCATGGAAAGAATGGGACCAAGGACCAAAAGTTGCCAGTGCACCCCCCCCCCCCCTCCCCCTAATTGAAGGTGTTCCGCCGCTACTTTGTATTTTGTATTTGTATTTATTCAGTTTATTGCCAACAGGACAGATTCCCAATGATAGGCAAAGTCGAGTAGATAAAACACAAACAATAAATAAATAAATATGCGTCACAATATTACAGATGGTCACTTGTCAGGCACCTGGCTAGTCGTGCGATAATCGTCGCCCTGCCGTCAGATTTATACTGTTCAGATTATACCTATATTGGGACATTTGGGCATAATTCCATTTAGAATTGTTGAACATTCACTTCCGTACTGTAACACCATTTTAACTCGAATCAACTTCATGTGGCACCCTTTCTCCTGATGTATACTTTCAGAACTAATCTGGCGATGCCTCTTGGACCAAATAGGGAACGTCAGTTTTTTCAACGCTGGCCATTAAATCATTTTTTCCCCAGAACTATGGAACCGTGGCTATTTCTGATCCCGAAATTGCCGTAGTGTTTTAGGTGGGATTACAAACGTACACTATCATTTCAACAGTCCTTGCCGAGGTGCGGCCAGGGCCGAGTCTCTTTTTGGGACACTCACCGGTGATGAGGTGAACGTGTTTTCCGACCATTGAATAGCCCAGTGAGTTGACGCTTATTATTTGTAATAGGGAAGTAGGCAAGTTAAGAAAGTGGGCAAGTAACAAGTTTCAAAAGTAACACTGTAACGTTTCCCTTTTAACTTTGCACGTGGTCTGGTATCAATGATCAGAATCCCATATTGAGATAGCGTCAAACATACAGGGTGGGCCAAAAAAAGTGTGTTACTTTTCGGCAGCTATTTCTCGAAAGTGGTAAGAGATACCAAAAAGAAACTTTCACAACTTAAAAAAAATCGTTTGACAAATTATATGATACCCATTTTATGAAAAAGTTTCAGTTGAACTGATGTTGCCATCACCATTTCAAAAATGGGATATGTGCGTCTTTTATGTTTGCGCATGTGCTCGAAGTGGGCACCTCAATGCTCAAGGCTCGTCTGAACACGCTCCAGGAAACTGGCGCCCACCCTCTCCGCGGTGCCTGCTGGCACAACACGCACGTAGTGCTCGACGCTGAGATTCAGCTCCTCCAGGCTACCGGGCTTGTTGTGGTAGACGCTGTCGCTGTCCTTGCAGGCTCCCCAAAACCAGCAGTCCGGCGGGTTGATGTCAGGACTGTGAGGAGCCCACTGCTTTTCGCTTCCCTTGGTGATCACGCTACAAGCTTTGTTCATGCAAGATGTGGCGCCACCGCACACGGCCCGAGGGACGAGTACACTGCAGCTGCTCCAAGAGCTCTTCGGTTGCCGCATGATCTTCAAGGGAAGCGAAAAGCAGTGGGCTCCTCACAGTCCTGACCTTAACCCGCTGGACTACTGGTTTTTGGGAGCCTGCAAGGACAGCGTCTATCGCAACAAGCCCGGTAGCCTGGAGGAGCTGCGTGTCAGCGTCGATCAATACGTGCATATAGTGACAGCAGCCACCGCGGAGAGGGTGAGCGTCAGCGTTTCCGGATGGCCTTCAGCTTAGCGGTGCCCACTTCGAGCACATGCGCAAATAAAGAGACGCACAGATCCCGTTTTGTGAAATGATGACAACGTCAATTCGATTGAAACTTTTCCATAAAATTGGTATCATATAATTTGTCAAACGATTTTCTTCAAGTTGTGAAAGTTTATTTTTTCGTATCTTTTATCACTTTCGAGAAATTACTGCTGAAAAGTGACACACTTTTTTAGCCCACCCTGTATAACTATAAGCCATGATCCATCCATCTTGCTTCATAATGACGTGGATGACGAAAATGATTGGTGTCTTTGGCATCCTACACTGTCACTCGCTTGGTCACTCGTATATAGGGTCAAGTATAGCGTAAGTGATCAAAAAACAACTGTTGACAATTTGCTGCTAAACACGTGCACAGTCACGTGCTTTGCACATTTCATGTTACTTTTGTTATCAGATACTTTTTGACAAATCTAGTGAGACACCCGGTAAACTCATTGTCCGACCGTTTCTACACATACACCCGAGCCGGACGCAGGGCTCGGGGACGGTGCTTACCGCAGAGGCTGGCCAGCACCTGGTTCTTGAGGCTGCTGGCGCCGCCATGTTGGCCAGCACCACTTCCCACAGAGTCGGTCATGGGCGCTCCGGGCGGCTCCCCAGTGTCCTCGGGCGGCAGCAGCGGCTCTGAGTCGGCCGCCGCCGCCCGCGCCGCCGCAGAGCGTCGGTGCGCCATATCTTATCTGCGGCGATCACGGGTCAGATGCGGAGGTCAGCAGAGGCGGCAGATTGGTCGCGCCCCGACCACGCCCAGTGCTGCCCCCGGGCGGGCCTCAGTGGCCGACCGTGTGTCCGTGGCAGTGGTCAGCTCCGCGGTCCCAGGACGGACATTGGGAGCCACATCCGCGGTCCCGGGACGGACATTGGAACATCCGCGGTCCCAGGGCGGACATTGGGAGCCACATCCGCGGTCCCGGGACGGACATTGGGCGCCACATCCGCGGTCCCGGGACGGACATTGGGCGCCACATCCACCGCCCTGGGGCGAACATTTTAACAACCTTTGCAGTCCAAAGATTTGTATTATTGCTTGTATTGCAAATATTATATTTTGATCTTGTAATTATATTTGCATAGTCAATTTAATATGTTGCATTTCTACCAATTAACCTGGTTAACAGGTATCAAGGGAAATCTATAGTATATTTAGGGCTGTAGATTTCATATGCTTCCAGTGAATTTAACTCCAGACTCCAGCCCCAAAATTGAGCCTGACTCCCAGTTCCCACCTCAGAGTTCAGATTCCAGGACCCCAATTGAAGTCTATGTAAGCCATGATAGTAAACTTCATGGCTGATATGCTTTTTACCTTACCTGAAACAAACCTCTGAACATTCCAAAATCCTACTTTATAGGTAGGTAATATGTTGAATTAAAAGCAGGTTCTAGTGCAACTGTTATCCACTGATTTACATACTAAAAACTTTTGTTCAAAGCAGGAGTATGGCTTTACTTTGACAGAACTGTCATGGACCTCAAAACAGCATGTAAACATTAGCTTGAGCAGGCGATTTTAAGTTGTCCTGTGCCAAGGAACATAGTACCTATTTTGTGCCAACTAAACATCGGCAAGATCAGTTGGGGAAACTATGAGGCGAACATCCAAAAATTGATTGGTCAATAAATGGACTTTTGATCACCATATATGGGCATAAATGCAGCCCCCGCTACTAAGGGTGAAACACGGTATAAAAAGCCGGTACTTGCGGTATCGCGTCCACTTACCGGTGAGAAAAGGCTTCCATTTTCCACTAGGAATTAGCATGATTTGATTAAATTCGGCGAATTGACACAAAACGGCGATAGGAAAACGGCTTTTCTGCAGGTTCTGGGCGTCACAATCAGCTGGCCATTCAATAAATGGATTGGATTGGTGTTTTGAAAGTAAATTGTTTTAAGATTTAATTTTATTTGAATAACTAAAGATATTTTATCTTAAAATAATAATCTAATCAAAATTGGAAAAACCATAAACAAAATAATAAAAAATGACATCTTCAAACCACTGTGCTGCTTACATTTTTGGCGCGTCTGTTTCAATCCGCCATATTTGCCAATCACTGTTTGACCTTGTATTAATACTCTGCGATTTAGAGCCGCCAGTGCATTGTGCACCGGGTGAGTGTAGACCTTGTGTGGTTAAAAGCATTCTTATGCCTTATTTTTTCATTTGAATGCTAGGATGCATGGAAAAGATGAAGTTGTCTGATTTTATGACCATATATGGTCATCGCCCCGCCCACTCCGGCCGTTGATTGGCTGATCCAATTTTGTTTGGCTCCTCGTAGTTTCCCCAACTGAGATTTTTGTGATTGACTCCAGAGTCCAGAGAGAAGTGAGAACTGTCAACTCAGACTCTGACTTGGCAGTCCTGGTGGTGAAAAGGACAACATGTAATTGAGAATTATGTGTAGCATAGCTTCATTACTCAAAGAGAACAATGTTGATGTACATACTCATACTGCAGATGACCAGAGTAAAACCTACACCACACACCAGTGTTAGTCGAGTGATTCTAATTTCTGCACAAACAAAATCTCATCAAAATTACCAAGCTATGCAGCCTGGCTGGTATTAGTATATATAAGGTCCGAGTGGCGAACCGATTATGAAAAGCATACTATACGATCTATTTTGACCTCCTCATTTCATATCTGATAGTTATTCCTTCTGGAACCAAGTATCAAAGCACCTATGAAATACTTACAGTTACCGCAAATCGCTACCGCACTCCACACCAACTCCACACTAGCGCAATGTGCCGGGCGGCAATTACTTGCGCAAAGCTGGCCAAGGTCAAGTAAATCAAGGATGATATCTAACAGTTGCTATTCAACTGTGAATAATGACGTCATAATACTTCTCGCGGCGAAGCAGCGCAGTGCCGAAGGCAATGCCTTAGGAGAGATTACAGGCAAGAGTAAATCAAATATTTTTAGGTTAAGTGGTTATGTATCTGGCTTCAGGCCGAAGGCCTGAAGCCTGATGCATGACCACTTAACCTAAAAATATTTGATTTACTCTTGCCTGCAATCTATTCCTGCAAGTAACTTTTTCCTTATCCCCGGTAGGCAAACATCAGTAGGTTAGGTTAGGTTAGGTTAGGTTAGGTTAGGTTAGGTTAGGTTAGGTTCCTTTTTTTGTAATTATGACGTCACTTTCATCACACCATTCGTATCGTTTTCTTTTTCCCCACCCAAAGCGTATATTCGGATGCAGTATGAGTAGAGCATGGGTCCCGAAAAATTATTCAGAAACTAGAGAAATTCTCGCGGCCACCGGCATTTAGGCGATCTGCTCGTGCTTTTGTCACTGGAGCGCTTCTTTCACGGAGATTGCGCCGGCCGCCTGCAACGGACGAAAAATACACGGCTTTGCAATCCGGCTGATCGTGGGAAAATACAGCCGGAGGTCTCGGCTCTATGCAGGTATACCACCGGGAGAGATGTATTTATTGTATAGTATATACCACTGGCTCGATGTATAGCCTGCAAGTTGGCTTTGGTGCAAACATGTCAAACAGGGTATAGGGCGGATCGATGTAAGCAAATCAGACGTTCAATTGACAATTTCCGATTCTTATTCGATAATTACGACCAATTATATTTTATTTTGGGAAGTGTTATTGGGACCGGAGCACATAGGCGCGGGAGCCGGGGGGGGCAGTGGGGGCTGCCTGCCCCCCCAACTCTGGGGCCGTGGGGGCGGTGCCCCCACAGCTTTGAGACGGAATACCACACTTTTTTGCAAATGTTTTCTTTTTTGTTGAAAAGCCGAGGGGTGAAAAATAAGTGGCCTAAAACCGGTGAGAAAACTAGATTTGGGGGTACCCTAGGTTAATCTCTATTATGGTGTGCCCCCCCCCAGTCGGACAGTAGTTCCCGCGCCCCTGCCGGAGCAATAAAATCTCATTTTCCCCTGTCTCCTTACCTATCTCCCAAACCCCTTGCTCACGATCATCTTTCCTCTCTTTAGATATCAGTCTCCTTCCCGTCCTCCCCGAGTCTCTGACAAGTAATATCCATGTCTCTAAGTCTTTTCCTTCATCTGATCCTCCTTTCTCTCACCACCCTTCTCTCTCTCTCTCTCACCACCCTTCTCTCTCTCTCTCTCTCTCTCTCTCTCTCTCTCTCTCTCTCTCTCTCTCTCTCTCTCTCTCTCTCTCTCTCTCTCTCTCTCTCTCTATCTCTCTCTCTCTCTCTCTCTCTCTCTCTCTCTCTCTCTCTCTCTCTCTCTCTCTCTCTCTCTCTCTCTCTCTCTCTCGTCCGTCTGTCCCATCTCTTTGTCCGTCTCTCCGTCCGTTCGCCCGCCCTTCCGTCTCTCAGTCCGTCCGTCCGTCCGTCCGCCCTTCCGTCTCTCAGTCCGTCCATCCGTCCGTCCGTTTCTCCATCCGTCCGTCCATCAGTCACTCTCTCCGTCCGTCCGTCATCAGTCTCTTCGTCCGTCCATCCGTCTCTCCGTCCGTCCGTCCGTCTCTCCGGAGGTGCAACTTTTCCCAAATAGTTCTTGGAACGTCACACAGTATATCGAACCCACATATTACATAGAGGTGCAACTTTTTCAGGTCCCACGTTCACCACGTCCAACGTCCTAACAGGTCCCAATTTTCCTGCCTTTTGGGTCATTGACCTGACCTGGAAGGTCAACCGATGACCTAGGACCTTAAAATTGGGTATCATCGGCTTCCTCTCGTCACGGGCAACACGCCGGTTTTTTCCGCGAAGCTCTAGCTTGATCAGGAGCGAAACGGCAAGGGGTTATACCTTATACGTTCGCGGCTGAAAAAAACACCTATACGGGCGAGGGTCAAGTTGAAAGTATTAATTTGGTTCAAAACGATGATGTAGATAAGTTAGTTATTTAAATCTAAATATCCTATGACGAGAACGATCGACATTTTTGGTATGCAGTGTTATCCATTGAAAACAGGTCAAAGCTATTGAGTTTTTAATTTAGTGGTCGCCGCTTACTAATCATGCGGCATACACGCCGCACATAACCGCCAATGCCGCAACGCAGCTTAAATTTCGAAGTAAGCATTTAGTCTCACCCGCATTCATATGGTACCCGTCGAGTGTGTCCGAGAATTTCTCTAGTTTCTGAGGAATTTTTCGGGACCCATGCTCTGCTCATACTGCATCCGAATATACGCGTGTAGTACACCTTTCGTACTTTGAGGGGCGATAGCGGGATAACGGTGTGGAGCTTCGAGGATCGGTCTTCAGTTCCCGGACCAGAAAGGTGGGGCCTATGCAATGTCAAATTTCATCAAAATGGTGATACTGTCCCTTTAAGCCCCTCCCGGTTTCCCCTATATATGATTTGTCACAAGAACCACAAGGAATCTTATACACTAAACTTTTTTCTTCTCCATTTCTTTTTGTGTGGGTTTTCAGTATATCCCCTACCTTTGTTCCCGAAGAGAAAGCTATTTTAAATCCAGTCATTTCCATCTGTTTCGCTATCATCTCGGCTGGTTTCGAATTGGGAAGTGTTATATAGGGTAAGGTGCCTAATTAGCGACCCTTTCCTATTTGCGACCTACCTCTCTACAGAAAACCTGGCAAGAGAAATCGGGATGAAAACAATGCCAAAAGGTCCGCCATACTTTGGTTATCAAACTAAATTCTTCTCCGGCTGTCGATGCTTCTGGTGGGACGGTCTAGGAGAGTTTAAACAAAAATGACCAGTTTCTTATCCAAAACGTATGTATTTGGAACCTATCTGCTGAAAAGCGATGCACAATAAGATGATGTACCTTTTTTATTCTGAATCGACAATCCTTTTTCAATTGATTGCCGTTTTCCCGCAGTGAATCGCGTAACTGTGCACTGCATGATGGTCAAAAATGTATCGCAACCCACATTTCCTATTTGCGCCCGACATGGTCGCAAATAGCTTGATAAGGGAAAGAAAGGGGAAAAGAGAGAAATGAAAATGAGGTGTTGCAGAAGTTTGCGATGTGTGGCAGGTGATGCCAACTGTCGTCACCGACTGCAGGGGTGCCGAATCCAGGGCGGGCCTCGAATATCATGCGAGATAGCCCGCAAATTTTGGGTTTTGGCCTTCTGTTCGCCTTTGGTGCATCACGTGATCAGTTATCATCTTCATAAAGGTGTATGATAAACGCTTCTGTTCCAGTGATTGAGCGCTTTGGGTATAGGTTGCCTTTTTGGGATCATATTTCAACTTTTCGGGCTTCGCATTTTTTACCATTTTTATTATGGGAAAGCCCATAGACCTATTAGCGACCCTACCCGGTCGCTAATCGGGACGAGTTCCCTATTAGCGATTTTTGCAATGGTTTGCTAAAATGCTCATTACAAATAAATTCGTGGATATTGGGAGAGAAAATGAATATATTTTAATAGAAAAAGAACGATCTATCCGAAAATCAAGCCAGTAATACAGTAGCACCCATAGAGCGTGAGCAGTGACGGTTCAAATTAAAGGGGTCGCTAATTAGGCACCTTACCCTATCGTTCGGTTTTCTTCGTCTTTGTTGTCGCGCTTCGCTTTCGAATATTGATAGCTTTCAATATTCAATGATAGCTTTCAATATTAAGATTGATAGCTTTCAAAGCTATCAATATTCGAAAGCGAACCGCGACAACAAAGATGAAGAAAACCGAACGATATATAACACTTCCCAATTCGAAACCAGCCGAGATGATAGCGAAACAGATGGAAATGACTGGATTTAAAATAGCTTTCTCTTCGGGTTCGGCCTGAAGCCAGATGTACAACCACTTAACCTAAAAATATTTGACTTACCATTGCCTGTAATCTCTCCTAAGGCATTGCCTTCGGCACTGCACCGCTTCGCCACGAGCATTCAGACGTCGCTTTCCATATTGTATTGGTGCTTTTAAACTTGTCGGTCGGCAGCGAACCCACCGCTACCAAGGAAAAGCGAAGATGCGGGAAAAAGCGCCCGCGCCGACGGGACTCGAACCCGCAACATTCGTATCATGGTGCAAGCACCTTCACCACTAGGCCAGGCGGTCAACTGATTCCAAGTGAGAGGACGCCCGGAATCGCGCCGGAATATTCGTAGTGCTTAGTCTGATCTGACCAATGGGCGAGCAGAGTCACTGTTCTGACCAATGGACGTTCAGCGTTGCTATGACGTCACATCGTGGTGAGATATACACACAGCTGCCCTCTCTGTGTATTCCTCACCCGGGTGTGATTTACACTACGTAGTAGATTTTGTGTATATCACACCGGGGTGGGTGTGATTTACACAAATGGCCGGTATTGTGTAAATCTCACCGTGGTGTGATATACACGGTCCCGGACGCGTGTATATCACACCACGGTGAGATTTACATAATGCATCGCACTGTAGTGTAAACCTCACCCGGGTGTGATTTACACAATACACTACTCCTGTGTATATCACACCACGCGGAGTGTGATTTACACAGTGGGCCGGCAATGCGTAAATCACACCGGGGTGTGATATACACAATGTGCTCCTAGTGTGTAAATCACACCCGGGTGTCAGACCACGCAGCACCTGGGTGTGATTTACACAGTAGGCCCGGCAAATGCGTAAATCACACCGTGGTGTGATATACACAATGTGCTCCTAGTGTGTAAATCACACCTGGGTGTCAAACCACGCAGCACCTGGGTGTGATTTACATAGTAGGCCTAGCCAATGTGTAAATCTCACCAGGTTGTGATATACACTGTGTGCTCGGTAGTGGGTAAATCACACCTGGGTGTCAAACCACGCAGCACCTGGGTGAGATTTACACAGTAGGCACGGTAACAAGACACTTAATCAAACCTTAGACCTGACCTGACCTAACCTAACCTAACCTAACCTAACCTAACCTAACCTAACCTAACCTAACCTGACCTACTGATTTTTGCCTACCCGTGGATGAGGAAGAAGTTACTCGCATGAAGAGATTGCAAGCAATGGTAAGTCAAATATTTTTAGGTTAAGTGGTTGTACATCAGGCTTCAGGCCTTCGGCCTGAAGCCAGATACACAACCACTTAACCTAAAAATATTTGACTTACCATTGCCTGTAATCTCTCCTAAGGCATTGCCTTCGGCACTGCACCGCTTCGCCACGAGCATTCAGACGTCGCTTTCCATATTGTATTGGTGCTTTTAAACTTGTCGGTCGGCAGCGAACCCACCGCTACCAAGGAAAAGCGAAGATGCGGGAAAAAGCGCCCGCGCCGACGGGACTCGAACCCGCAACATTCGTATCATGGTGCAAGCACCTTCACCACTAGGCCAGGCGGTCAACTGATTCCAAGTGAGAGGACGCCCGGAATCGCGCCGGAATATTCGTAGTGCTTAGTCTGATCTGACCAATGGGCGAGCAGAGTCACTGTTCTGACCAATGGACGTTCAGCGTTGCTATGACGTCACATCGTGGTGAGATATACACACAGCTGCCCTCTCTGTGTATTCCTCACCCGGGTGTGATTTACACTACGTAGTAGATTTTGTGTATATCACACCGGGGTGGGTGTGATTTACACAAATGGCCGGTATTGTGTAAATCTCACCGTGGTGTGATATACACGGTCCCATACTGAAAACCCACACAAAAAGAAATGGAGAAGAAAAAAGTTTAGTGTATAAGATTCCTTGTGGTTCTTGTGACAAATCATATATATGGCAAAAGTCAATTATTCAAAATAATTTATATTAGGACCTTAATATAATATATATTATATTAATAATATTATATTATTATATTATAATATTAGGACATATATATTATATATTTGGATAATATTATATTGTATTAGGACATATATAGGGGAAACCGGGAGGGGCTTAGACGTTACATTAAAGGAACATAAGCGGGACATGCGAAACAACGCAGAACATAGCGCGGTAGTAATTCATGCTCAGAAAACACATCATTTACCAAGATGGGGCGGGGCGGAAATTATAGCATTATGTAAAAACAAAGACAATCGGAAGGCGACAGAGGCGGCATTTATAGCAATGAACGAAACGATTAATATTAGGGTGGGTTCGATGAAATGGGCAAAGCCAGCGGCGATGTATAGTTTAAAGAAGACGTGTCATTAGTTTGTATGAGTAGAGTATCTACTTGTTCATGATCGTTCTGTATAAATTTGTTGTTATCCATGTGTCATATGTATGTCACTGATCTATTTTGCAGCTTTGCTATCATTTTTCGTGGATATTCTCCTACAGGTGGATTAGTAGTGAATATGTCATATGCATGAATTTTTAAAATCAAGACGATTGCACTGTGACGAGCTCGAATGTTTGTGTGCTATATCTTGTTTTCTCTGTCATTATGTCATGCTGATGAAGATTTAATAATCGAAACGCGTCCATGCACTATTTGTTCCGTGTTTTTCTACCAGTAGTTTTGGAGTTAGGAGGGGGGGGGGCTATGAAAAGCCGCCCCCCCCAGTAGGGCGTGTTATATATAACACGCCGTACCTATAGGTAGGTGTAGGTACCTATAGGTACCTACGCAGACCCCAGTGAGAACTGAGACCCAAAGCTATCCTGTTACATTTTTTACACGATTCTTCGTGGGTAAGCTAGATGAAGCGATAAATGTCTAACGTATACGCCATTAACAGGGCTAAAGCGATGCTTTTAAAGGAAAAGGGCCACCTTTAACATGGGGATTGAAACTGAGATAGCCATCTTGTAGCCCGTGTCCGAAAACCTCTCTGCCTACCTCCTTACGGCCGATTTCGGCCTCCATTCGTAGTTATCGGCAATTTTAAAAGAAAATACGCCAGGAATGCGTCTTTATCCCAGGAATGCGTTCTTATCCGACAATACAGCCACCCGCGGCGAGGCTTTGGTTTTTTACCAATCAGCTCCAACCAGCTCAGCTTTAACCAATCAGCTTATCTGACACAATCCGACGAGTCTGTCTTCTGAACGCTGATTGGCTTGAGTGTGACGTCATCGTTATGCCATCATACAGTAGGTGCCGTAGAGAGTATCAACATAGTACCAATATGTTAAATAGTTTTAAATACTTTTTCGCGAATTATGCACTTCTGGCACCAGTTTTAAAAAGAAAATGAAAAATAATAATGTCAAAATGAAAAACAACGATATCTTCATATTTCACGAAGGTGGCCCTTTTCCTTTAATACACGCACTAGAGGAGAGGGGACGGCCCCTTCCTTCAGGGCGCGCAATTTTCAGACCCCCTCTGTCGGGACGTGTTTAAGACCCCAACTTATTCTGCTGCTGATACCTACATCGGTAATGTAGTGGAGCAATTAATAATAATAATAATACGGTACGGTAATAATACGGTAATGTTTGGAGCAATTATTTCATAAGGTATTGACAAATCTTTTGCTTTTTCGCATCAGTGCCAGAGGCTAAGAAGCTGTGGACGCGCACCAAGGCCTACTACATGCAGAGGTTGCGTATCCACGTCCCCAGCGGCAGTCCGGCTCCCGAGGACATCAGGAAGCTGGGACCGTATGGCAACCTGCTGCAATTTCTGCAGCCGGTGACGAAGCGTGGCAAGTGAGTTTGCCTGTCCCGTAGCTAAGTTGGTAGAGCACTGGACTCCCGGTAGTGAGAGCCCGGGTTCGAGACGCTCCGGCGCTCGATATTTGAAACTCCTGACGGGGATGGTCTGCGGTTGATGGGAGCAGCCGTAGCCAGCTGAAGTCAGCTGAGTGGGACAGGCCGCGTCCGGCTTTGAAGGGCACGGTAAACTTTGGCATCTGAATTCTTCCGTTACCTGGAATTGCGCGATCGGACGCATTAGGGGTCGGGGTCTACGCAACAAGCTCTGCTTAGCGTGGACCCCGGCTCTGTCAGTCCGTCTATTCAGACATTCGAGCTAAATTATAAAAAAATACTAGGTTTTCGAAATGTACCATCTTAAAAACTTCATTTTAATAAAAATAAGAAATAGTTACCTACAGGTATAACTACTGACTGAAACGCAGCCACTGAACTTATTATACTGAAGCTGTGTAACTAGAAAGTTTTACAACCAGTATAACGCCTTTTGGGGCGACTAACGGAGCGAGCGAGAGGGTGGGCCTTGCACGTGCGAAATTGCGAGGGGGTACCTCCAACTGACTTGTGCACGGCACCCTACTAACTGGTCTCTAGCGATGTGCCAAATTTGGGCACAATCGGTCCAGCCGTTCTCGAGATCTGGAAGCGGCACCCTGCACGTGCGCACGTGCAAAATGGGTCCCAACTAACTTGTGCACGGCACCCTACTAACCGGTCCCTAACCGTGTACCAAATTTGAGCGCAATCGGTCCAGTCGTTCTCGAGATCTGGAAACGACCCCTGCACGTGCGCACGTGCAGCAGCACCCCAACTCTGGCACATGTATATGCAGTGCCTAGTGGGTGCCTACCTACATGCCAACTTTCAGCGCAATCGGCCAAGTAGTTACCGAGATATTGCAACAATTACAAAAGTGACACCTCTTCGTTTTGCACGTGGCACGTGCATAAGGGGTCACCCACATGCATCGGGAATAGTCCAATACTTGGTAGAAGGAATGAAGCTACCCTACAAAAATTACCGCGTGTAAATCGGTCAAGTGGTTGCTGAGATATAAGCCTCGCAAAAGCGTGACCACGGCCGGCCGGCCGGCCGGCCGCTCATACTCAGAAATTTCCGTTAATCTAAGGAAAGACTACGCTCGCTTCGCTCGCTCCGTAATCAAAATGCCTTTCTATAAAAACTTTTTCGTTTTTTAACCCGGCAGGCGGTGGGCCTACCAGCCACCTTCCGCGCGGTGGGGGGGGGGGGCATTTTTTTGCCCCCCCCCCCGTATCTCCGAAACTACTGGACGGATCCGGAAAATTCAAACGGCGTTCGATAGCCCTGTCAAATTTGTCGAAGGAAACCAAATTTCATTGACCTCGGGGTCACCGATGACGTCACAGGTCAGGTCAAAGATAAAATGTTTCACCGTTCACGGGGCTTCTAGGGAAAGCGCTATAACACCGAGTAAAACGCATTTTGTCGAAAATCAGCGATAAGGCGTCAGTTGTCTAGTACATATGTTGCTATTAGAGGTCACTGGTCATACCAGGTCAGGTCACAGGTCAGGTCACCAAAGGTCACCACATGAGGCCAACTTTACTAAGGTTATGCGATGCATGTTTTATGGCCAGTTTTTCATTTCCAACTCAATGGTGTTGGTTATAAGACCATCAGGTACGGTTTAAGTCACTTTCTGGTGGAGGTCAGGTCAAGGTCAGGTCAAAAAAGGTCAAATTTCAAAGTTGATATTTTTACATAAAATGGGTATCGATTCGATGCAGCTCGTCACGGGGAGTCTAATGGTGGTCTTTGTTTTGCGCTACGAGGTCTAGAAGTGCTAAAAATTGAGTTTGAAAATTTGACGTCATCAATTTTGAACAGTTTTTTCGCTATAACTTTACCAAAAAAGAGGTATCGATCTGAAATTTGGTATGTAGATAGAAGGCGGTAGGGACTATCACATAAATTCCGGTTTTTTTCGAAATTCAAAAAACTTTTTGGATTTTTTGGCTATATTCAATTTTTTTTTTTATTTTTGGGGGTCAAAATCCAAAAAAAAAATGAAAACCGAAATAGCAGTTTTGTAGCCCTTTTGATTCCACACCTTTTCTGTCTGAAACATTTTTCTGTATCTCTAAAGCTGTAGGCCTGAGAGCTCTTCCCGCGAAACCTTTTTTTGTGTCGAAAATGGCAAAAATGACGTCACTCTGACGTCATTAGCGGCCAACCTATCATAGCCTTTGGAAAAAATTTTTGGTCACTATGTGCGCTAGCTGCTCCCGGGAGGGTACTGAAAGTTTAGTGACGATCGGCGCAGCGGTTCTCGAGATATATTGAAAAAACTAAAGGGGGGTGGGCAAAAAAATGCCCCCCAACCGCCTGGAAGGTTAATATTTTTAATATTTTTTAATCTTTTTCGTTTGCAGGAACGTCTCATCGGCGGGGTTCAGAAACCAGCAAGAAGGCCCAGGTCACGCTGGAATGCAACATCAATCGGCAGCTTCATCTGCATCAAGCTTTGAATTTGACAGTGCGGATGATTTCTTGGCGCAGCTGCAGCAGTTCTCCGGCTCTGCGCAGAGCGGAAATACGAATTCCGATGCTGGCTTAACCCCATCTCCAGCCCCGGCACAGGCACCAGGTCGAACGCTGACCCAGTCTCCGGCACCGGCACCGGCACCAGTACCACCACCAGCACCGACGCCGGCGCCAGCGCCGGGACCAGCACCAGTACCAGTACCGACACCAGCACCAGCGCCGGGACCAGTACCAGTACCAGTACCGACACCAGCACCAGCGCCGGGACCAGTACCAGTACCGACACCAGCACCAGCGCCGGGGCCAGTACCAGTACCGACACCAGCACCAGCGCCGGGACCAGTACCAGTACCGACACCAGCACCAGCGCCGGGACCAGTACCAGTACCGACACCAGCACCAGCGCCGGGACCAGTACCAGTACCGACACCAGCACCAGCGCCGGGACCAGTACCAGTACCGACACCAGCACCAGCGCCGGGACCAGTACCAGTACCGACACCGCTACAGGCACCGGTCAGAGCACCAGCACCGGCCTCGACCCCGGCACAGGCAGTTCGTCAGCAAGGTTTAGCGGGGCGCAAGAGGCGCCGTGGAGAGGGTGACGAATCCGTCGATGGACGGATTCTAGAGGAACTGGCGCATGGACGACAGGAGATAAGAAACAGAAACAGGGCATTCGGAGCATATGTGGGTGCTGAACTAGAGTCGCGTGATGAGGCCGCAGCCAAACGCCTACGCCGCGCTATCTTTGAGCTCTTGCAAGAGTAAAAACGAAAATGTGGCAGCTGATTTTTTCAACAATGAGAGTGGTTGAGTTGCGGTTGAGTTGTATTTATTGTTCTGACATTGCAATGTCATGCGTGAGACCTTTATATTTCACACAAAAAAGTTTTAATGCTACGCAAGCAAATAAATAAGTCGATGATGCATTTGTACCCATGTCCAAAGTCGATGATGCATTTGTTAGGTATGCTTCTATGCACATGTCGGCTGCGTGCCTCTTCTGTTTGTTCAGCAGTTGGCTGCACGATCGACGCGAGCCTGTTGCCATGGTACACTCCCCACCCCGTTGAAGAAGGTGGTGAAACCATCACGCACCAGAGCCGCATGGTTTCTCGCCGATCCTGGGTCGTGGATGTCGGTCAGTCCAGCCACCTCTCCTGGCTCTTCGGCTCCCAGGAAGCTGTATGAGCCAGGTTGTGACGACTGCCGTTCCATATCTTTCTTGCGGAGATAACTATGCAGGGCACACGTGGCCAGCACCAGCAGCTAGGCCATTTAAGGGCTGCACGTAATGGCCCCGCGGTAGATCCGCCACCGCTGTGCCAATATCCCGAAGGCGTTCTCAGACGTCAGCCGGGCGCGACTCATCCTGTAGTTTGCGATGCGGCGCTCGTTGGTTAATCTGACACACGGGAAAGGCCGCATTATATAAGGTCGCAAAGGAAATGCTTCATCGCCGACCAGCGCATGAGGCATCGGCGTGTCTGTACCAGGCAGAGGCTCCGGCCCGGGCAGTACCGTTGGACCACCGTGCAGCTGTTCTTCCAGCATGATGCCTAGGTCGCTAGCGCCCCATACTCCTCCATCGCTCTCCTGGCCGTTGCTGCCGACAGTCATGCATGTAAACCGATAGAAGGCATCGACGACAGCCATCAACACAATGCTACAGAAACCTTTATAGCACCAGTTGATGGAGCCACTATTCGCCGGCTTTTGAATCATAACATGTTTGCCATCGACGGCTCCACAGCAGTTGGGGAACTATTCCGGAATTCACGTGCACGCTGGTACCACTCTGCGGTGGTTGGAAAATGGAAATGCCATGACCTTTGGCCCCAGCTCGGACCACAAAGCTGCGCAAACCTCACTGATTATTTTCGGCACGGTGGCACACCCGATCCGGAAGGACTCCGACACCGTCTTCATTGAACCACCGGCTGAAAGGAATCGGAGGGTCACTGCCAGTCGCTCCCCCAGAGAGATGGGTTCACGCATACACGTATGCTGTTTTCTTATCTTGTCTTGAACCAAGGCCAGGAGCTCATCGAAGTCAGCAACGGACATCCGGAAGTAGCGGAGATGGGCTGATGGATCGGCTGCTCTCATCTCTTGCACCAGAGTATGGTATTCTCCAACCTGGTCACGACGAAGAAGTATGGGGCGTTCCCAGCACTCAGCAGACTCTCTTTTGTCTTCGTCGCTGCCGAACTCTCCAGAGCAGAAGTAAACGAAGAAGACGGCTTCGTTCAGGATCCATCAGTGTTGCACTAAACACAATATATACGCCTACCTTAAATGTAAATTAATAGGTCAAACAAACCTACGTACAACCTTCTCCCATAAAGCCTACAAACTGACAAACTAAAACCGTAAAGCAACCGTAAAAAGCGCAAAACTCGCAAAACTCGCAAAAGCGTCTGTTAAAAAGCGAAAAAAGCGCAAAACTCTCGTTTGCTAAAACGTGTAAAAACCGAAAATGTTTACACAATATGGAGACAGTACATTAGAAGTCGTAGAAAGCCGGACCTTTGAGGGCTATTCCGATAAGTTTAGCTCTTCATTTGCGAGTCCTAAACAATTGGTCCCTTAGGCCTTGGACACCATAACACCCAGAAATCTACTCCACACCATTTCTCCGGAGAAATACGCGACATCGGCTCGTGAATTAGGGCACATTCTCAGAAACGACGACGTGCAGGCCGAACCACGGAGCATCGTACAATTTCACTAGCAAATATAGCTTTCCTCAATATGCGGAACGTGCTTAGTTTAATAAAGGAAGAATACCATGACATGAAACGTTTATAGACCGTCGACATGTGTTCATATTGTTCATAGGCTGAGAACACCACCATAGAACAATTTACATAGATCAAATAGCTTTAGGAAAATATGGATCGTCATAGACACGTTCCAACACTATCAGCCGATAAAGAGGCTCAGTCGGTACCAATCCGATCAATATCATCCCCGAGGGCCCCACGCTCAGTTCCAACAGCAACCATATCGGAGACCGAGACATATTTGAGCCCTTGACGCACTGCTATCACACTTGAACGCACTGCTAGTACAGCTGATTGCCAGTCATCGGGAAAAGGATGGCGAGACGCCTAGGTGACGCGCGGCTTTGGCTAGTTAAAACAGTGGAAAAATAGACAGATTCTTCATGTAGCACACAATACGCCACGTAACAGCGCATAAAATAGAACATTTCGCGCCAAACGGTCGTCGCCGATCATGGGCATTTTGTATAGAAAGAACAGCACATCTACAGCAAACGCACAATGCGCCAGCAATCAAAAGAATAATTTTCGTTGCTCTGCCAGTCCTAGTCACGTTCACAATGCTACGCGGTGCCTATCACCAGACCGTCAGACAGGAACACGTGCATCACAGGTCACCATCGGGTGACTCCTAGTGGACCCCTCTCGTCGGTATGAGGACCGGGAACATCCACCGAAAGACGCCCAACGGCGGGCACACGGCCGCTGGACAGACCCAGTTCCCCACACAGGTACTAGTACAACTGAACCCGCACACCGCATCCGCCGGTCGGCTCAGCGGATACGAAGAAAAGTCATGGAAGTCGATCGGAAAATAGACAAACGATTGGTAATGTTTGGTTACGATAGCGGCAGGTGCCATCAAAACGAGGGCCATAATACGTACATAGTAGTCAAGTATGACACACAGGTCACAGATTATGGAGAAATTATATCATTACCCCACTAAAACTAAATAAATATAGCTAGACTATTAAGTAAGATCATCTTCCATGTGTAAGCATTGGGTCTACGATCAAAACCAATATCGTTACATTGGATGATGAATTTACATTGGATGATAAATTCTTTTACCACTGAAAATTTTCGTTATACATTTCTTCATTTCTACTCCATTTTTCTATAAATAGTTTTGGCTACTATCATGTTGATATGTGAATTGGGAAAGCTGAAAAATAAATATGCGAATAAATACGTACAAAAATAAGATTTATAATAGTGTGTCTCCATAAATAAAATACTGAATAGATGACAACAGACTTCACACAACGCGGGCAATTGCAACTCGAGCCATGACCTGTATCGGAAAGTTGCAATAAATTGGAGGCTGGCACGACAGCTTAAAGGATCAAAAGACAGCTTCCACAGCTCTCGCTAGAATAACCCATAACCACACGAAAATGATGATTCACAAACTCGGAAACAAAACCGTGAAACGACTTAACTACAAGCCCAATAACCGCACACACAAAACTAAGTAGGAAGGTCGGACCTCGCCAAGCACATTGCAACTGAAACATACCTGGTCAGTGGTCAGTAGGCACCCACGAAACTGTCATGTCACCATGCTGCACGGCACCCAGTCGGCGCGCCCGCGGTCGAAACTTATCGGGCTTCCCTCGCGGCGGCGCAGAGGGCGACCCTAAGCCACTCAGCGTGTCCAGACCGCCAGACGTGCTCGCGTGCTCGCAAGGAGGGCAGGGACCCTCGGCGAGCCGCCCCAGGTTACGGGCTGGTATCACCCACACTCGACTATCACAGTGTCCAGCTCCAGAGAGCCCTCTCACCGACCGCACTTCACAGGCGGCCTCCCGGCAGCCCGCCGATCACACACCACAGGCAGCCTCCCGGCAGCCCGCCGGGAGCACACAGGACGCCACTGCTCAGTCCCAAACGACCACCAGCGGCATCCAGTGCGGACTCTGTGCCCCACCGGCAGCCGGCCGGCCACTTAGGCGGCCATCACCGTGCGCGCGAACCCGTTACTGTATCCGTTGGCGTGCCCGTGACCGTGGTGGTTGACATGGTGCAGCGGCTGGTAGACGGGACTGATCTTGTCGGCCCAGTCGATGCCGATGGTGCCCCCGTGTAGCAGCGGGTTACCCTTGGTGACCATTGGCAGAATCGCCTCCTGACGCCGCCGCAGGTTCGCCTCGTATTTAGCCTGGGAGCACAGGTTAACGGGAGGTCAGACCCCCAGGGAAGAGCCGAGGGGTGACAGTGGGATCAGAGCAAGGGGAGGGGGGGGGGCGTAAAACATGTCACTTTATACCAGCGATGTTGGCCTTGACGTCAGCAATGCGATTCAGCATCACCAAAAACGGATGCCGCCATTCATTCACAACAAAAATGCCATTGTCTTGACAAGTCGGTAGCCACATTTCAGTGATCGCCAGCTTTCCGAGAGTTGTGCTCCATTTATGGATGTGCGACAGCAGTTGTTTACCGAAATGCAGCATTACCGGATAAAATGAGCAGCAAAACTGGTCACGACCGGCCCATTTTCCCCGACAGTAATTCCAGGTGACAATCGGCATGAAAATGGCCAGTGCAGCAAGTTGGCGGCACGGCACTGGCACGGGCGAATTGACACGTCTCCTTGCCATTAAGAATGCATGCTGCTGATGCCGCTCTGTGCTCCGCTTTCCTCCCTTTGCCCACACACTGACCTTGTTGTACATGAACACGCCTGCGATGGCCAGCAGCATACCGACCACGTTTGTCACCGTGACCGGGTTTCTCATGAACAGCAGGCTGGCGCTGATGACCGACACACGCTTGGTGGCGTTACAGACGGCGTACGTCAGCGGCGTCACCAGGTGCAGCACCGTGAACGCCACCAGGTTCTGCATCCAGTTCAGGAAACCGTCCGTCGCCAGCAGCATCAGCGTGAAGAACACGCTGTCACCGCGCACCTGGCGGAGGACGGATAAGTGGTAGTGTCGGCAACCAGCGGCAGATGGCAGTGATCGGAGAAAAAAATCGGCCCGACTGCGGACGGGAAGTACAGAGTACAATGCTTTCGTGTGATCCCGGAAAACATAGTGGAGCAGCGTAAGTGGCTTCGATGAAAAGTATATACGTACAAACCCAGCAAGACGGTACCTGACAGACGAGAGTTGCAGCGGCCAGCGGGCAAATGGCACTGACATGTACTATCCACATAATACTGCGACATTATCTTCATCATTGTGGTAGGTAGCATAAATAAAATGGTACGGTAATGTAACAGGTCATCGCACTTGTTGCCACAGGGTTCGCAAACCGGTCACGTACCGTGCAATATATGAGCGTTTCAAATTGGTAGGGCGACAGACCGATCGGACTTCGGTCTCGTGCCTCTTGTAATGTTTGTAGTGGACTATGGCCGAGCGTGGTTCTACACTATCATGTCTGTACTTGGCCCCAATAATGGCCTAGTAAGAGAGCACACTTCAATACGTCACCAGTTGAATTGGTCCTTGGACAATGCAAAGACAGGGGACAAAGAAGCGGCACTGTTCGCCAGCGTCCACTGTCTACGGTACGTTTTGCAAGGCTGTTCATAATTCGGCCTAATATCACCAGAGCAGATCAAAGGTTTGATCCACCGGTTAGCCATCTTTTTCAAACGTCCCAAATTTATGTATGCCGTGCGCCTTCCTCTAAAACGGATGGATCGTAATGCCGGCAAGACCCTCCGCTATATCGCCTCCAATTTAGGCTTGTCTGCGCGAAAAGAAGGACGCTCTTCATCACAAAAATACCGATTTTCTCTTCGCAAAACCAAAGTAAAGTTAAAGTCTGATCAGATCGTGTCAAATTCATGAAGGTGAACTTTGCAAATTAATACAATCAGCATCCCAGATGTATGCTGATTGCTGAACCATGCTGAACTAAACTTTATTAAGAATCGCCTATTATGGGTTAAATACCAACAACCTGACTGAAATGATAGCAACAGTGCCTAATTACTAGGGTTACGTTCCTCACAAAACTGTAAGGTACATAACGCTCCAACAATTAACTTTTAGAATTCGGATCCATCCAGAAATCCATTTAATCCGCCCGAAAACTAGTTCAGCGAACCGAAACAGAACTAACCGAAAACTAGTTCAGCTTCGTCATATTTCTTTTTGAATCCTTAAGCAGCGTGTATTGTGGGTTAGTACGGACTACGGAAGATGCTTTGTGAGGTGACGGTTACAAATAATTGCATTGACATAAAGTCATGATGCTCGTAACTTACCAGGTCATCGGCGACCATCAGCTTTCTGAGATCGAACATCACCCAGAAGGGCAGGAACATGAAGAAGGCCAGCCTACCGAGCACCAGAAGCAGCCGAAGATGATGGATACCCGTGTCCTTCATCGTCTGTGAAAACAGGGAACGAGACACTCAGCTGAGTTCAATCTTACGCGGGGTCATCTACGAGGTTTCTACAACGTAACTGATTGGATGAAACGTCATTTATACGTATTATGAATGCAAATTGTAAGTGCAATCACGACAAAAACTTCACAAATAAAAGGTTCGGACTAGATTTGTTAAATAAATTTCCAAAGAGCAACTGATTCTCATTGCGTAAAAATAGGCTAACCGCTTTCAAAACCAGGCTTTATGACCGAATATCCTATCCATTATCAGATCTGTCGAGACAACACATAGATCGAGAAAACACCACGCGAAAATATGCGCTTTGGACTCGTAATGCTAAATGATGTCACTGAGGGTCCTTATGTATGAACTATGACGACATAACTATTTCAACGAGCTCCAACATCGGCGACTCTGACGAAAACGTGCACCCCCTCCGCTGACCTTTTTGGAGAACAGCTGCATGACCGAGTAGACTGCGATGGAGGTGAGGGCGCTGAGCAGGCCGATGATGTCGAACGACAGCTCCGTGATGGTGGCGATGCCGACCCCGACCACGATCGGAATCAGAGAACAGTACACCTGGCGACCGCAGGCACGTCAAATGACTGTACAAATGGCCTGGGATGCATATAAAAGGTATCCAGCCGATGCAGCTCGTTGCGAGGAATCCAACTCGTGTGTTGTTGCTCAGAATGTTCCTTACCTGACCTGACCTGATGATGATGAATTGCGGTTTTTGGGCGCCCGGACTACAGTGGCCATCGGCGCCCATGTCACGACATTAGAAGATCACGTTATGATTATACAAACGCGACCTGACCTAACCTAAATTGGGACAGAAAATGGGCACTGACCATTTGGTGGCAATATCGGCATTACTCCTAGCCATCGAAAGGGTCCGTTTCATCCACCCCCGAGACGAGAATTAAGAAGCAAAAACAATACACGGTCATTTAATGCTAGTATACTTACCGAAAAAGTTTGTCGCTCTCCTAACAGCACCCTTCCAAAGATAACAGTAAATATAGGCATCGTTGCCTTCACTGAAAAAAAAATGTTTCAATTGAACATTATTTACGACACAGAAACTAGCAATGCAAACAGCTTCATAATGCGATGAAAAGGTTCAAAGCAAATGCAGACAATAACATTAAAGTCCATAGGTATCACAAGTGGTTCTGATCTTTATACAATCTACACGCAACAAAATTTGTCTGATAAGATGATTTACAAAATAGCAACGAAAAAAAAAACTATAAAAAACATTCTCACCTGTGTGTGCATATGAAAGAGGTACTTTCCATATACTTATGTGAGAAAACAAAACAGCCAAGAATTTCCCAGTGGCCAAGGGAACAATGACTGATACATAGTAGCTCCAGCTCATATCAGAGTGTGGCCTTATTCTGAGACACCGTAATATTGGTTCAGAATACACTGTGATTGAGAGAAGCTGGACCATGCTCAGGGTGTTTGGGTATGGGAAGTAGTTCAACAGCGTTTTCCCGACAACATTATTCACTGAGCTTATGGCATACCACAGAAGACACAGACACACAAGCTTGACAAATTCTTTCTTTTCTGCAAGGGTCAGAGACATCTTGACCTCCACTCGCCAAGTCACTTCAGTATATACATACAAATATCTTCTATCTTCAACTGCTAACAGGCAACAACCTGCATAAAGCTCTTAGTCTTTGATGCTTCAAATGTCACAGAATTGCAAGCATCATACAAGCTTGGTCCTGTTCATAATCACAGTTATTTCCATTGGCAAGTGAAACTTCTGGACCTGAAAAATAGAAATAAACATCAATTTCCAAATAGCCTGCATGATCATCAGTATTCACTTTTCAGCGGGAATTACCTACGAAAAAACGATATAACTGAACAGTCGGTACTATAACTCAAATTCAATAGAAAGAACACACCCTTCCAAAGTTGAAAAGTGAGACCACACAACGATACTTACAATACTTTGTAAAACATTTCTAACTTACAGTTACACCCAACCACACGTTGAAACAAGCAAGGTTATTTTGTTAGGTAAGGTTAGGTCAGGTCAGATTAGGTTTGCTATAATTCTACTTGTAGTGTACCTGACTTTTTTAGCATTGAATGGTTGCATGAAAATATTCTAGGTTGATTTATGGTCAGACTGGAAAACATCCATACACTTTGCCAGTCCTGCCATACGCCAGTGAGACCCTCATGAGCCGAAATTCGGCGCAAGCAATTTTGCGCTGAAATTTCTGCGTGATTTGCGCCGTAAGTTGGGTGCCTACTTGCGCCAAAATTAAATTTATTTTACATAAATCACATGTCCACATCTATCGACCAAGGCTATATCAACCAGACAGCGTTCCCTGGCCTTGGACGCTCTCCCATGTTTGAGCGTCCGAATTAGTTGATGTTTCCATGGAAACCCAATACCACAATACGAGTAGCGCACTGTATGCGACGTGCCGTGAAACAAGGCCCACGGGCCAGAATTCCCGGGTCCACAACAATCGGCGGAGCGGTGTGTTCGAGGCTGGCGGGCGCCAGCGAGGGCCGGGCAGTGGAGCAGCACGTACTCCAGCACACCAGCCTCTCCACGGGGCACCGTTTATCCGGGAATTGCTGGCACGCCCCGGAGGGAAGACGGCCGATTCGGTGGACGTACAGTCTGTCTTAAAAGTACCGCGCAAAGTGGTGGTGGATCCATCAAGCCTGACCGAGAAAGGTCTGCTTTAATTTGAAAGTCACCGAACCAATTGAGCTGGGGAATGGACGAGGATGTCCATTGCTTCGGTGACCCAAATTTAGCAGGCCCTTCCTCAGTCAGGCTCGATGGATCCACCGCCACTTTGCGCGGTACTTTTAAGACAGACTGTACTGGAGCGAGATCTGGTGCACCAAAACGGCGTTCTCTCGGTCCTCCCCTGAGATGGGGAGCGGCAGCGTGCTCCCGAATATTCGCTCGAATAATGACTCGGACCAGTTGTTGCCCTATTGATGCGAGGCTGCATTAGCGACAGAGATCCGCACGCTGCTGCCGCCAGAGTGCAGCGGGCGATGGACGAGGTCGATGAGTGGGCCTGCGCGTGGCACGTGCAAGTCAGCAAAGACAAGACCAAATGCATACTATTCACCTCTAACATGTACGAAGTTAACTCCAAAGAAAAAGTAAACATTTGTCTAGGTGACGCTGTCATCGAGCAAGTCAGTGAAATACCGATCCTGGGCGTGATCTTCGACACACAGATGACTTTCTCCGCTCAAGTAAAAAGCCTCAAGAAAAAGCTGACCAAGCGCCTCCAAGTGGTGAAGGCCCTGGCGGGCACATCGTGGGGCTGTGGCGCGCAAACTCTCAGAAAACTGTACTGCCAGTTTATCCAGCCTGTGGCGCTGTATGGAAGCGCGACATACGCGATGTTCAGCCGACAGTCGACAAAGGATGACATCGACAAGATGGCTACAGCAGGGGCAAGAATCATCACTGGATGTCCAGCTGGCACTCGGAACAGAGTGGTGCTCGCTGAAGCTGGCGTCCGCACGGTGACCTCCCTAGCCGAGGAACAGGGAGCCATTCTCCCCCCCCCCCCCCCGAGGTTCCTGCCTACCAGACAGCAACCAGGAAAATCAAGAAGCGACTGAAAGCCAGGACCACGTGGAGAAACGAGGCCGAGAAAATCGAAACTGATGCGGAACTGCGGGACTTCCCGAGGGAGGCGGCATGTCTTCCCGGCAAGCCTCCGTGGCTGTCTCTTGGTCGTGGAAAGGTCACGTTCCACACAGACGCGACTCTCAACTCTTCGAGGTCGGATGCGCCTGAGAAGAGGAGGATGGCCGCAGATAGGGTCATGGAAACAATGAGCCCGCCTGACAGCTGGTATTTCACAGACGGCTCCACCGAAGAAGGCTTCGGGAAGGGAGGGGGAGGAGTTGTACGGAAGGACTCTCTCCGAGGTGACCGTACATGGAGTATCCCGGCCGGAAGGTGGACGAGCTTGTACCGGGCGGAACAGATGGCTCTCCTGTCTGCGGTCGAAGACGCTACATCGGCACCAAGTTCTGTGAGGACCGTGCGTTTCTGCACCGACTTCCTCTCCCTTGTGATGTTCCTGAGGAGGGACTCACACGGCGCAGCACCGGACACCATCACCAGGATATGGAACGGGCTGGCCCAACTCAGCAGACAGCGAATAAATGTGCAAGTGGTATGGATCCCAGGACATGCGGACATCGCGGGGAATGAGGAGGCGGACCGAGCAGCAAACACGGGTCGTACACTGCCCCAAGGAGAAGTAAGGCTGGACCTCTCGTCGGTGAAGGTGGCCATCCACGGTGTGTGCCAAAGGAAGTGGTCCGGCACATACCACACCACTGTGCCGCCGGAGCACACACACAGAAGGGCCACCGGTGGACGTAGGCTACAGTATGACGATGCCTGGACAAGACAAGAGGAGGTCCTCCTCCACCAGCTCCGCGCCGACCGATGTCCGTTGCTACAGGCCACACTACTCAGATGGCTGCGACCGGGCACGGACGGCCTGTGCTCGGAGTGTGGAACGGAGGAGAACACAGAGCACGTCATCTGCGACTGCCCGCGTTACCAGGCCGCGAGATCAAGGTACCTCGGCCACGTGCCGACGCTGGAGGTGCTGCAGGAGAGACCGGATGCTGTCGTCCGGTTCATGCGACGGACTGGTCTCCTGCAGCAGAGGGAGACCCGATGATCGGCCTGCCGCACATCGCTGGACAGCAGAAGAAGAAGAGGAAGCAGAAGGCTGCATTATGATCCGCCCCAGTTAGCGAGCGAGCGTCCGAGGGCAGGGCGGCCACTTGCTTCGCCAGGTCCTCCGCGCTCTCATTCCTCTTGATCCAGCAGAGGGCAGGAACCCACTGCAGAATTACTTCACGACTCTCGGCGATGTTCAACAAGGTCTTCTTTACCCATCTCCACGCTGAGGGTGGAGCCCTCACCTCGGCGCCCGCTCCTCCACTGAGTAGACTCAGGGCGGCTCGCAAGTCAGAACACACAACGATCGGGCTAGGGTGAGGTGAGGGTGAGGGACGTCTCATCCCTAAGTCCTAACCCTAAACCCTCTGCAGAGCGGCCCGCAGGATGAACCTGCTGCTAGATTAACCAATAACCAGAGAGCCAAAAAGTTTCGTAACTGCCATTTGCCAAAAAAAATATGCAGCCGCCCTGCACTAAAAAAAATTCAGCAGTTGCCATGTGTTGAATTTGACGCATGCGAGGTTAGCCAAACGTGAGCTGAAATTTTTGCTGGAAGCCTGCCATGCCCACTATGCCAGACATATTCAACAGATTCAGCATAACTTGTATTTTTTCCAGTCTGTATTTATGGTTTGACAATATGGTGTGGTTTTTGTTCAATTTGGAGCTAGGGTGCAAAATGAAGATTTAACCTTCAATTTTCAAAAGGCTTCCACAATTCCTCAGTTAACACTGAGCTCCCAAACAGTGAGCACATGGCCTTTAATTCGTTCAATCAAACTTCATGCCAGAAGTGCGAAAAATAGGCAGGTAGGTAGGTAGGTACCTATCCCGAATTATGATAATTATCCAGTCTCCACCTCACCTGTCTCTGGGTCCAAACCTTAGATACTTTCGATTCTCTGGGTCAGGGTCACAGGATTCAGGAATTCGGCGAAATACCCTTTACATCTATATAAACTGTGTATTATCGTAGCCAGGCGATATATGCCTCCCAAAAAAAACAAGGACACTCCAGCCCCCAGGCCCCAACTCCTGCCGTATGTGCCGTATGGAGTTTGAGTTCCAGAATCCAGAGTTCCGTTCCGCCGTATGTCCAAAACACGGTATATAGAGAACTGTCCAAAATTTGCCAGAATGTGTCTTTTTTGCTTTTTACTCTCCATCATCGGGTAAGAATTTACGTGGAACTCTGATTGGTCAAAATATGCAGTATGAATAACTTGCTATCCTTAGTTTTGATTCTTGTCCCTTTTTTAGCAAATGAGAAAGCATGGATTCATTATAGATTGAAATCAATATTTTTTATTTAAAAAAATATCCGAAAAATGTAAAAAAGGAAGGCTAAAAACCTGTAATTTTTGTCATATTCATGACGTAATTTATTGCAAAACTTTTAAATGTTATTCTAGCGCGAAAGCTAAAGCTAATATGTTCAATCTTTATTCGCGCAAAGGATCGCAGAAAAATCAACCAATCATAGGGCGAAAACTGCGCTTTTCATTTCTCTTGCTCAATCGCGTCTACGCCAGGAGAACAGGGAGAACACCAATACCATTTCTCGGTGCATGATGGTGCATGCATGGTGAAACCCACTGACCGGAGAAACCTATATACCCTGGGAGAAACCGAACGTGTCTGGGTAAGACGAGTTGAGCCATAGGCCATAGTAGTGCCCAAGGCCATCTAAAGAATAGTGCCGATAGTGCCTATCGAACTGCGGAGGTGTTGAGTGTGGTAGAACTTATACGGCCTTGTGTGGTAGTGCCTGTCCATGCTTGTCCGGTGACTTCTTGGACCACCGAAGCTTAAAACGTGAGTTGAGCTCGTTTTTTAGCTGTATATAGCCAGGTACCGTAGTGCCCGTAGTGGGTAAATGTCAAAATATTGTCCTAAGAAGATTTCAAGGATAATTTTTTTCATAATCTTATATTATTTCATATTTGATGCCTATCATGTTTCGCAAATAAAAGGAAAAACATAAACCTCACCTAAGTCCTAATCTGGCGTCCTAAGTCCTAATCACTTACCTACAACCTACCAACCTTACCTGATACCTGATAGGTACCTGATATTTGGGGATCATTGAAGGCACTAGGATGTTAGGGAAGCTATCTCCAAGTACAGTGGTGATGGTATAAAATTTTCATGCATGCAATGTAGGATCTCCAATGTGACCATGAAAGGCAAATCTGTCCCTGCTAATGCTGATCCTGATGTTGCAGGAACTCTAAAGCAACTATTTCATCAGATCAGGGGAATATGTGGTGTGGTGAAGGAACTATCCAAACAGATCCAATCCCTGACTTCTCTCCAAACAGGCCAGAGATCTCTCGACACTCCTTCAGTGCAGGATCGAGAGGCCCCCATCCAGCCTCTCCCTCGCGCACCTCAGATGGTACCCTCTTCCCAACCGCTCAAGACCATACCCGAGTACAGGTCAGCCATCCGTGAGGAGCTGAGGGAGCTGAAGGAAAGGGAAAAACGTAAAGAGTCCATCATAGTCAAAGGGCTAAAAGCCAACTCAGTCACAGACTTTTCCACCAGCTTTGTTCAGTTGGCAGAGAGACAGTTCAGTGTTAAGGTTGTCCCTACTGAAGTGCAGAAAATCTCTGGACATGCTGATATTTTTCGAGTCAAAATTACTCATGATGACACCCGTAGAGAAATCCTCGACAAAGCGAAGAGCCTCCGGGGCACACGACATGAACATGTTTATATCTCACGGGATCTCACTTATGCTCAAAGAGCTGAGATGTTCAACCGGCGCCAGGCTCGACGAGCCCAGGATAGCTCTGAAACTCTGGGGGCTGTGGGAGGAGCCCCACCTCCCCATCAAGCCATGAGTGTTGACACAGCCACCAACCAAGCCGCCCCAGCCGTAGCTGCGCCATCTGCTGCTCCTACTCCTACCCCATCTGTCCCTGTGGTGCCCCCCTCCAACTCCCAGGGAACCCCGTCAACCCAGGGAAACTGAATCCTAGCCTGCCGAACTCCCTGCCAATTAAAGTTGCCCAACTCAACATAAATGGCCTTGCTCCTAAACTCAGTACTCTAGCAGATTCAGTCATAGATCTTTCCTTGGACATAGTCTGTGTCACTGAATCCCATCTCCTTCCCCTCCTATCAGACTCCTTTGTCGGCATACCCCACTTTAACCTCCTTTGTAATGATGTTGCTGGTCCAGTTGCGAAGCACGGTGTCTGTGCATATGTCAAGAAAAATATTACAATTGGTGACATTGTTTCTCATATTCCCAATGTTCTTGCTTTTCATCTTGTTTCATTTAATGTTTTTATTTTGCTTGCATATCTGCAAGGGGGGCCCTACCAAGGAGTGTGGGGCAGTGGTAGGTGACAGAGAGGAGGCCCTTCAGTGTGACAGGTGTGACCAGTGGTTTCACTGCGCTTGCCAGGGGGTACCATCAGCCACATACAGAGTTGCTGGTTTGCACAAGGCCCTGTCTTGGCTGTGCTCATACTGTAAACCATTAATCCGCAGCCCCTCCAGTTGCTGCAAAACTGTGAAGGAGAAACTGAGGGAACTCGAGACAGCCATCCAAACGCAGCTGGATACACTGATGAACGTGCAGGAGTCTCACACAGAGAGACTGATCCAGGTAGCCAAGGAACACTCCGAAACACTTGAGAAAACACTGCAGCTCCATATGCAGGCACTGAAACAAACAAGCACCAAACAGGTCCAGATCCTGACAGAGCAGACCAACCTGAACAAAGCCATAGTGAGCAATCACAAGCTGCTAACCAAGGAACAAGAAAAACAGAAAGCTACATATGCAGACATTGTCAAAAGTCAGTGCCAGGAAGTCAAGAGGTCACTTGAAATTACAATGGAGAAGCTCCCAAGCAGCTCTAAGCACAGTGGGCCCTCAGGGGCAACCAAGGAGGTTGCCAGCTTCCTGGATGCATTCATGGACAAGGAGAGGCGCAAGTGCAATATTGTGGTGCACAACCTCAGAGAGGCCGAGGGGGACACTCATGATGACAGGATGGCAGCTGACAGGGCTAGACTGGTAGCTTTGTTTAGAGAAACTCTCAGGCTGAAGGTCAGTATCACTAACTCATTCAGGGCTGGCAAATTCAACCCAGACAGGCCCAGACTTCTTATTGCCACTGTGGACTCTGAAGCGACCAAGTGGGAGATCATCAAGCTGGCGCCACAGCTGAGAAACAGCCCAGGATTTTCCAACATCTATGTAAACCCGGACAGAACAAAGGAAGAAAGGGAGCAGGGGAAAAAACTGCGGCAGGAGCTGGCCACCAGGAGAGCAAATGGTGAAGAAAACCTGGTGATTAGAAGGGGAAAGATCATCCCACTCGCTGGCCACCCTGCAGGTGCCGCCCCTAGCCAGGGTCTGGTGGGCCCCGGGTCTCCTCTGCCGGCGGACGTTGGAAACCGGCGCGAGCTGGCGGACGGCGGTGCTGAAAACCGGCATGTACCGGCGGACAACGGTGCTGAAAACCGGCGTGCGCCGGCGGGCGGCGGTGCCGGGAGCCGGCGTGTGCCGGCGGGCGGCGGTGCTGGAAACCGGCGTGTGCCGTCGGACAGCGATGCTGGAAACCGGCGTGTGCCGGCGGACAGCGATGCTGGCGGCCGGCGTGTGCCGTCGGAGAGCGATGCTGGCAGCCGGCGTGTGCCGGCGGACAGCGATGATGGCGGCCGGCGTGTGCCGGCGGGCGGCGGCGCTGGGGACCGGCCTGTGCCGGCGGACGGCGGCGCTGGGGACCGGCGTGTGCTAGCTGACGGCGAAACCGCTGCCACCGACGGCGATCGGCAAACGCAAGGGATATGACAATCACGTGGGAAACGAGCACTGTCGATCCTGTACACCAACGCCGACCAGTATTTAAACAAGCGTGATGATCTTTGTGCGCGGATAGCTGGGACGGAGCCTGACATCATGCTCATCGCAGAAGTTTTACCCAAAGTCCAGGTCTCCGCGGTGTCTGCTGTACGCCTTGCCATTCCTGGTTACAAAGTTTATTTAAGTTTCATTCCTGATGTTCTATGTTTAAGTACTGTAAGGCCCCGTGGCATCTGCATTTATGTTCGCGACTCCTTGCCCTGTTCCGAAGTTAAGTTTCTTGCCAGTCCTTTCCGCGAACAACTGTGGGTGAACATCCGCCTGGCAGGCAGCGACATTCTGTTGATTGGGTGCATATATAGGAGCCCATCCAGCCCACTGGAATCAACCAGCCAGCTGAGCCATCTGTTGGATCTCGTCGCCGCCTCACGACCTACACACCTGCTGATTACCGGCGACTTCAACGCTCCCGACATCGACTGGGCGGCTGAGGTTTCAAGGGCACCAACTGGGCATTGGTCGCACGAGCTTCTAGAACTCTTTAGGGACCACTACCTCACTCAACACGTGCTGTCCCCAACGAGATACCGCCCCGGACAGACGCCTCACGTCCTGGACCTCGTGCTGACCAACGAGGAAGGCATGGTCCTCGACCTCCGCAGCCATCCGCCACTCGGCAGTAGCGACCACGTCGTCCTGACGTTCACCCTGCGGTGTTACGCTGAAGTCGAGCAAGTGACAACACTGAAACCGGCACTCCACCGCGGCGACTATGGGGCGATGGTCCAAATGGCGCGAGAGGCGACCTGGCCTGTCTCTGATGGCTGCACCGTTGACCAACACTACCGAGCGTTTCAAGAAGTCCTGGACGGCATCTGCGAGCGCGGCATCCCTAGGCAGCACCCAGGTGGCAGGAAGCGAAACCTGTACATGACGCGCGAGGCCCTGACGCTGCAGAACCGTAAGAAGAGAATGTGGAAGAGATACCTACTAACCCAAGATACCCTGGACTACTGCCGATTCTCTCGAACCAGGAACCAGTTGAAGGGACTGGTTAGACGTCTCCGCAGGAATTTTGAGCGGCAACTGGTTGAGAACCTGCCGGAAAACCCGAAGGCATTTTGGCGTTATGTGCACTCCCGCCTGACCACCAGAACAAGAGTGGACGACCTCGTCACTGAGAATGGGGATATGGCGTGCACGGACGCAGCTAAAGCTAGGGCTCTGGCGGAAGCTTACAGCAGTGTGTACTGCTGGGATGAAGACCCGGCTGACGTTCCAGCAATGAATCCCCAGTATGGAGGCCCAACGTTGGAGGAGCTGCGGGTGACGCCGGGGCAAGTGGAGGGTAAACTCCGCGACCTACGCCCGGCAGCATCACCAGGCCCTGACGCAGTCCATCCTAGGGTGTTGCGCGAGCTGGCTGCCCCCCTGTGTGGTCCCTTGACAGACCTCTTCAACCACTCCTTGGCAGACGGAAGAGTCCCAAGAGATTGGAAGCTAGGTCAAGTTGTCCCCATTTATAAAAAGGGACCTCGTAGCGATCCTTCCAATTACCGTCCCGTCAGCCTGACGTCCGTGACGGCGAAAGTGTTGGAGTCGCTCGTGCGTGACGCCCTGTTCGAGCACATGACAGTGACAGGCCAGCTAACTGAATGCCAGCACGGGTTCCGCCCGGGGCGCTCCTGCGCAACGCAGCTTCTCAGCACACTCGAGGAGTGGACTTGGCTGATGGAGGAGGGCGAGCCGGTTGACGTCGCCTACTTGGACTTCCGACGCGCCTTCGATTCGGTGCCTCACCTGCGTCTTCTCCAGAAGCTCCACGACATGGGCGTTAGGGGACGCCTCCTCGAGTGGCTTCGCTCTTTCCTGACAGAGAGAAAGCAAAGGGTCACTGTCAACGGCAGCTTCTCGGACTGGGTCGCAGTCGGCAGCGGTATCCCGCAGGGCACAGTTTTGGGACCAGTGCTCTTCATCGCTTTTGTCAACGACCTACCTGGCTGCGTAGAGAGCGCATGCAAGCTCTTCGCTGATGACACGAAGGTGTACGTCGGAGCGGGCACCGAGATCGGCCGCAGAAGGCTCCAGCAGGATTTGGACGCCCTGGCGGCCTGGTCTCGGAAGTGGAAGCTGCCGTTCAACCCATCCAAGTGCACAGTGCTTCACCTGGGCAGCCAAAACGTGCGGGCGAAGTACACGATCGAAGGTGCTGCATTGAAGACTGTTGACACGGAAAGAGACTTGGGGGTCCAGATGGACAGACTGCTTAAATTCAGGGAGCAGGCGGCGACCGCCATTGGCAAGGCCAACAGAACCCTCGGCCTGATCAAGCACAGCTTCGTCCACATCGATTCCAAGACACTTCCTCTGCTGTATAAGACAATGGTTCGCCCGCACCTAGAGTACTGCAATCAAGTATGGGGCCCGTTCAACACGACCGACGTGAGGCTGGTGGAGCGGGTTCAGCGACGGGCTACGCGCCTTGTCCCTGGACTTCGGCATCTGCCTTACGAAGAACGACTGAAGAGTCTTAAACTTCCCTCCCTCCAGTACCGCCGTCGACGCGGAGATATGATCACGATGTTCAACATCATGCACGGACGCTCCGGCCTGG